AAAGGGCATAGAAAATCGAGGATTCAACCAAATTCAAAAATTTCTTCGCCCAAATGCTTCAAATAAAGTCTAGATTCGTTTTAGTGAAAAAAAAAAAATTGGGGGTTAGGTGCACTTTAAAATTCACCATCTTTATTCACTTATCACTGTTCACGATGACTCCAACCCTGCTGATCCTAGCAGTATGAAAGACACCTGTCACGTATGAACTCAATTAAATGACCTTGCCCTCCATGAGTTCTTGTTACTCAATGGATAGAGCGCCTGCCCGGTGTTCGGGAGGTCATGGGTTCAATTTCTGTTGGGGACTCAGATTTTTTCTTTGTCCCACGCTTGTGTCATGTTGATCAGTTCACTTTTCACAAAGATTCATTTTTAGGGGTGTAGAATGGCATGTCAAAAAATACTAGTCATGGCAAAGTTCAAGTAAGTCTCTCAGCTTTTTAAAAACAGAGTCTCAGATTAAAAAGATGACACAGTACTACACATTAATCACGCTCTAGTTTACTATTGAGGACTCTGAAAACAGATCTGCAAATCAACTCGTTTACATGTTATGTATGTACATGAGGGCATGAAGGACACTTTTATGGGGGAATCGTGTTCAAAATAACCAAATGCCATCTGCAATATATTTTTTATGGTGAGCACATAATGGTATGAAATGAGTGACAGGGATCTTTTTCTTACCAGTATTTTATAGTAAAATGTAAAATTGTAAGGAACATCTCATGGTCGGCTCACTCATTTAGTCTTGAGCTCAGGTTTCACAATAAGGGTCTTGAGGTCTCAGCGGGGCCTAAGGAAAGACTTGGCAAAATTTTATCTAGGGATCTCCTCCCAAGGTCCATAGCATTTTTGAGAGAGAAAGTAACTTTTTCATGTACCTTCTATAATGGTAACCCTTTCACATACCTACAATATGCTTTTACCAACCTTAGGTCCTGTGGATATTTTTTCAACCCAAACAATTGGTCCACCAGAAAATGTCTACCTTAAAAATTCCCCAAATCATTTATTTTCAAATCGAAAAAGGCCTTCACTCTTCATTGTCACAAATATACACTGTATACCTGTACAAGACTTTGGTGCTTTTAAAATAAATACCCAGATGGCAGTTGTTCCTACCCTTTTCTGTGCTTGAAATCACAAGCCCCTACCCTTTCATATACCTCCAACCTGGAAAAGGATCCCTTTTGGGCAGATCATTCTCATATAGTCCATTATAGGGAGTGTCCCTCCCCCCTCCAAGGTGCAAATGAGCAATCAACCAAGGGGCATTTCATCTGCACATTCTGGGAAAATTCACACGACTTTGAACTGATAATTTGTCAATGATAGCACAGATCTATGCTCTCTCTACTAATTTCTCTTGGGGATAGCTGAGAAATGTTCACAGGCTAGAACTCAATCACTGACTTATCCCCATAGCACCAGCTTTTGCAAGGGGTGGGAACAGGCTAGAACTATGTACCCGCATAGGTAAATATTCACCTACCTGTTTTCCTTTATGTAGATAGACCTGGAATGCTAGATTTTACTGGAAAGGCAAAGTGGGATGCCTGGAATAGCAAGAAAGGTATAGTATGAAATCCATGTTAATTATGTACAAGTGCTCACCTATCTCGCACCTGAGATGACTTATTGACATAAGAACCTGGAGAACAATCTGTCCCAGGTGCAACATAGCAAGGTCTCTTCTGTGCCTGCCATCATGCTGTTTCTATGAATTTGACCTTTTGTTTTGTTTCCTTTTGATTCTTCTTGTTTATATATGAGTAGCTATGCTTAATTCCTATCAGTACCCTGGGATCCACTGTAATTGGCTACGCTGTAGTGGTCTCCCTGTCTAATGAATTTTGTTGCATATAAGTTAAGCATTTTCGTCAGGCAAAGTGAAATAAATATTCCAATGAGTCTATTTCCATGCCATGATTAATTTTTTCCTAATACTTTGCTTCAACTGAAACCTGTGTATGGAAATCAGCCAGATTTGCAGCAGATTAAAACAACAACGACAACAACAACAACAATAATAATAATAATAATAATAATAATAATAATAATAATAATAATAATAATAATAAAAACAATATTTACAGAGGATATCACCAAGCCACCAAGCTAATATTAAGTTAATTAGGGTGGTCCTCTATCTAAATAATAACAATAAATTGGGCCGGTTTTTATCTACATCATGGAAAATAGTTTTTATTTCTTACCTAATTTTGGCAAAATCGGGTCAACAAATCATAGTTTGGAAATACTGCTGAATTATCTTGTCTGATCAAATTGGATATTGAGTCAGACACAACATCATGGGATAGACCTGTAGATAAAGAGTCTAAGCCTATCTTTGTGTCTTGCCTTTGGCAGTACAATTACATGCAATTTTCACAGGTGCCCTTGCCAGTTAGGGCAACATGTACTTATTCCCTTATAGAGAAGTTTTTATTACCTTCGTTAAATGAAAGAGCTGTGCTTTACTTTCTGTTATCAGGTATGACCAAGGAAGCTGCTGAGGAAGCTTACATCAAGAAAGTGGAAGAACTGAAAAAAGCATGATAGTTCTTTTTTTTTTTTTAATTGAGGGAATAAATAGTTTTGAAGAATTTTGCAATTGTTTGATATTGTATTTTGGTAGTGTAGAAGAAGCTCCTTTCCTCAGTGAGTCTTGAGATTAAAGTACAAATTTCCCTTAATATTCAGTGTTATATCAAGACAGTAATATGCCATTTGGTGGTTTGCTTTCTTCTCAACACTCATGGTCTTGACATTCTTTTGCCGATTTGAGGAGAAATTTGATATTGAATACCCATAGAAAGGTTTCAGACTCTCTTCCAAGCCTTCCTTTGTCCAGTTCTGGTGGTTCCCTCTGATAAGGCCACAACTGGTCTCTCCAGGAAACCTTCCCTTGTCATACCTTTTAGGAGTGGTTTTGGTACCTGTTAGGGTTTTCAGCCTCAAAAGGTCCACAGCAGGAGCTTTCGTGGTACCTTTAAGGCTATTGAGCCAAAAAAGGTCAGCGTTGGGTGATGTGTTGTTTTAGAATTGGTACCTCCTAGGGGTGAAAAACATTTCAAGCCACGCCCACAAAACAGGGTCCTGGTACCTCGTAGGGGTTCTTTTCAAACTTTCTGACGAGCACCCCCGTGCTTTTTATCTGGGAGTCCTTCTCCCGGGGTTAGAACCCTTTCTCCCAACGAGCCACCATTTTTAAAATCGTCGAGGAGAAGACCCTAGGGAAGAGGTTGGAACCGAGTTGACCAAGGGGTGGACCATTTGACTTTTAAGGGAGGGGGTGGGTGATTTTCCAAAAAAAATTATCATGCAAGTACCTTTGTACCGAAAACTATTCATGCAAAAGATCAATGTTGAAAACATTCACGTATATTTAGAGGGTCGATAAAAAGCATGTTACATGGAGAGAAAAAAAAAATCCGTGCCTACAAACACGTCCCGAAAAGAAAAAAAAAAATCCGTAGTCCATGAAAGGGTCCAAAAATTAAAGTCGTTTCTGTCAGCCAAGTCACCCTCACAGCGTGGCCGAGTGGTATGGGCGCCGGACTTGAAATCCTGAGGTCGTGGGTTTAACTCCCGCTCTGACCACTAAGCTGGAGTTGTTTGTCAGTTCAGCTCCTCGGTCATGCTTGCTAATACAAGTGTATATGGGTGAACAAAAACGTAAGAAATAGACCGATTTCGATATATTAAAATTCAACCTAAAACAATAGACCTCAGTACGAAGCTCCGGGGAATACCTACAGAGTTTGTGAGGTTTATTCCCCAGAGCCTCGTGCTGAGGTCTATTGTTTTAGGCTGAATTTTAATATATCGAAATTGGTCTATTGTTAGACCGCAGTAGATGCGTGACACTTAAACATTCAAAAGAAAAAAAAAACACTGATAACGTAGAAATAATTAATAGCTTGTAATTAGCCAACTGGTCTGCCCCCCGCCACTTGGAATTTTTAGCGTATTATGTTTATCAGTCAAGTGGCATGCCTGAGAACTAGCTAATCGTAGCTAAGCGCATCGACATCTTCAAGCATTTGACATTTGTTTGAAACACTCCCTCAAAAGTTAAATGATCTACCCCTAAGGGTTGTGTTCTTGATTATTATGTCTCCAGGGGAGGGAGGGGGGGGCAGGTAATGGACTCAACAAAAATTCTTTTCTTTGAATTCAAAGCCCCATGTGCTAAAAACAAGAAAGAAAGCAAGCCAAGCCAAACACAGGTTAAAACTTAATTGCCGCTGTCACCTCAAAACAATATTCAGCCTTAAGGTGGCTCAAAGCAGTTTACAGGACTTTCCAACACGTAGATTTTGATGGGGCATTATAACGCACTCCATATATCGGTGGATGCCACAATCATGGTATCAAAAAACTGCCCAACCATTGGTGACTCACGTTAGTGTCATTTTTGTGACCATAGCAACAGTGAGGCCTGCTAAAAATACCCTTAATTTAAGCTTTAAGCGCTTATAACTCAAAAATGACCTCAATGACCCCCATTTTTGTTATCGAATTATGATAAACAGGATAAGAATAAACTTTTTACAAATTTTTAAAAAATTCTGCTATGGTAACCTATTGTGTCACGAAATTGACAACAACATGTTCCCACCCAATGATTGGGCATGTGTGTGATACCATAATTGCAGCATCACTTGGGTGCGTTCCTTTGGGATGATCTGGACCAATATCAGTGATTCAAGATCTGTCTGGATCATGGTGCATCAAAAGAACCGATGAATCCATTTTATTTCATGGATTCATCTGTTTCTTTGATGCACCATGATCCAGACAGATCTTGGATCACTGATCCTGATCCAGATCACCCCAAAGGAACGCAGTCTTTATTAACACTGGTAGAACTCATCTTTCAGATTATAGCTGTTAGAAAAGAACTGGAAACTGTTGCCAGCCTCTTTAAGCCAGGTGTTTGTAATTATAAACTTCTGATGAAGGGAATGATCTGAACGGGTGCCGAGCTCACTCCTGCAACTTCCGTTTAGGGATCGTCATTCTATCAAACATTTGCTTATAACCCTCTTTAGTACTTTTGATGCCAGAAAGACGGGTCTTATTTTACTTCGTCTTCTCGCCTTCGGTCTACTATACTGGAGAGGCAACAAAGAACGATCATCATGAAAAATGTACGTGTGAGGCCGGAAACTATATTTGAAACACTTGTTATATATTATTATTGCATGACTAGCTGCCGTTGTTGTACTTTTTGAATTCACAAGCTCTTACTGGCATTAATATTCTTGTGTCTACTTGTAAATGAATAAATTCATAACTTTGTATTATTCCGTGTCGTGACCAGGCGTTTATTTTCGACACGAAAGTGAAAACGATCGATGATGACACGTTGTTCGTTGAAAATAGCAAGGAAAAAAAATAATAATAGCAATAAAATAATAAGAATTATAAAGGCGTTCATTTCCTCCTCACTAAATAGTATTCCAAATCATTTTTTCCTTTTTTCTGAGGTTTTTTGAACGAAACAACTACAATCAGCCTTATCAACTGGTTAGCCATGCAACTGGTTTATAAATAGAAGTTTTCGCCATCATTTTTGATTATCCATGATTTCTGTACAGCGAGACAAGTGAACAATAATTATCTCGACGTCGTGTCTGCTAATCGATCAGAATGCTACCAGTTACTTCCGGTACAATATTAAAATACTGTCACAATTTGCCCGAGAGAGACCTTCTATAGAACTAACTTATCTACATGAAAATGGAGCGTTATCATTTATCTTCTGCTGAAGACTTTTGAGTTGGCATTAAAGGCTACATTTCAGCTATAGAAAAATTCATTTGTCACTCAATGTCCTTTAAGAAGACAAACTGACATTACTTAGATATTTGGGTCAAACGGGCCAATATAGTTAAACGATTGTTTTGTAATCCATCACGCATAACTCACTGGTCTGATATCAGATTATATCGCACGATAAAATCGTGCAGTGTTAAGAAACTCTAAGTCCCTTAAGGTTCTTAAGTTCAAGAGTTAAGTGTAATGGAATTTACAAAGGTGATTACGGGGTGAAATTTCAAAAGGCATTTAATGAAATGCGCCAACGAACAAAAAAAAGCAACAACAAAAATAAACTTATGCCTAGCCTTTCTGATTTTTCCAATTTGTAGGCCCTTTCCTTGGGTGTATTCAACGGAATACTCTTACACTCGTGCAGAATACAACATCAGGCCGTTGCTAAAATAAGGCTCTTAGAAATGAAAAGAAGGATTTTAATAAGGCGATTTTGAAGTTTGCCACTGTTATTGTGGTAAGTGTCATTCTTTGGCCCAACTTCCGGCTCGCGGTATTTACTGTTCTGAATTGTGAAAATCTATTAATTCCTTTCGCCCTTCTTGATTTACACAACAATAACTTTGAAGTTGCCCAAAATTTTAGCTCACCTCTCCGCTGTTTTTTTTTTTTTTTTTT